TTTCCAGCGTGATTCTGTTCCGATGTCGAGAATTGAAATTTTAATTACGTCAGTTGGTCTCACCAACTTTTCTTAAATTCCTTAATGCTTATTAGTGTCTGTGTAATCCGTCGTTCAGTGTGATCGTGTGGGCACTAATGTAAAGGACTGATGTTTTGACAATCTGTCACCGTCTTAGTCATGTGGACAGTTGTTTATAAATGAAATAACGCAAGTTTGGTTCGATAAACCGATTGGTCAGTTTTTAACAGTCAGTTTGGACTCGGTAAAGTTGTTCTTTACAGTTCGTTGGTTGGAGAAAGTCGTTGAAAATAGTGTTGCTATGTCAATGGCCAGGTAGAGTCCCAGTCAATAGCGTGGTAAGTAGGTCGACGATAGAAAGGCCAAATTGATCTCAAATTTTTTTTAGCTTTAATTTTAGAATTCATTCAGTCTTTGATGTCTTTTGCACCAGTGCCATCTTAAAAAATATCACGTTCTTTGCAACATCACCTGAAAGATAACTTTGACACTAATTGTTAAGCAAACAAAAACTGAGCGTTCAATCCTAAGAAATCATCAATCTTTAGTTCAGATTTTTGTTGTCATTTCTATATGTATACCCAATTGCTTATTTCATCACGGTAATGTAACGAAGTTCTCAAGAGATAAACTACGCCAAATAATAGAAAGTTGTGAAAATCAATGACTAGATCACACGATCGCTCAGAGTTCGCAAAACAACCAGTACCAGTGCAGATGAATCCAAAAATGGTGGCTCGATGTAAACTAGTCACTTACCAAGTAATTTCATCCATTTTTATGCACAACATGAATGACGCCAGCCAACTTCAGATGAGTAAAGTCTTCTCAGGTTTAGATTACTTAGATACATTAAGACAGCCACCATTTTTGTTACCGTTACGGTAAATAATATAAAGCATCTTATCTTTGTAGTATCCTCTATATATTCATCGGTTCCATTGAACTTCCTCGGCAAAATTATTTATCCTTCCATTCCTCTGTCAAAATTTCTCTTCCTGGAGATATAAATTTGGAATATGATTAGGTACTGCTAACGCTTTTAAATCTATACAAAAATATCATAAAACATTGCTTACGGCGACAGGCAATCCAACATTTTTTGCACAATATTTTACTATATAGAATTCGTAGGCGTAAGATTTGGTACAAGAGTCTTCAAAAATCCTTAGGGCAGCATTCAACTACAGAACGTCTTCGCCAATAAAACTAACTTTGATAGAATCTTTATTTTGCGTTCCGCCAAGAGATAGTAACGAGTTTCTAACACAAGACATAGCTTCTGCTTCTGAAGAGGTCGACACCGTTACTGAGGGGAACTCGAGAATTTAAGAACCCCAGGAACCAAGCAACATGCAGACACGTGTTCACTTGTTGAACTAAGAATTTGCGATTCGTACAGCTTTGTGAAGGAAATTAATCCAATATTTTCCAAAAGATAGCTCACCTTCTGTTTTAGTAACAAAAAACTGTTGTCTATTGTTCTTCTCTACAGTTTTAGGGTTTTCTTCCTTCTGGATGTAACTTAATCTTCAGAAATAAGACCTGCACGCCTTCACCGTCCGGCGGAAAGCGAAGTTTGGTGAAAATTCTACAGTTTCTGATGAATATGCATTAACAACTACAGCCACTGATCGGCTGATACGTCATAGATTTGGCGCGGGTTGTATTTGCACGCCCAGCCAACTAATGAAGAGTCAGGAGGAAACAAAGGCATTGTGTCTAATGAATTCGCAAGTGAAAAAAAAGGAAAAAATTAACAGCACTTCAGGAGGAATATAGAGGAGATATAAACAGTATTTGTTTTGAATAAAATACTCTAGAAGCAGGAAAATATTCTGAAACAGAAATAAGGATTTAGAAAATTTTCCAGTGTGCATTGTGTGGCTAAAAAACGGCTGGAAGTTGCTTAAGACTATAAAGAAATCAGAAAAGTATTTAAGCTTTATTTCGACAACACATTATCAAATAAAAGAGATCCAAGAAAGGAAGAAACGTTATTTTCTTATGAAGGTAGCGTGAGATGAAAAAACTTGAAGATGAACTTGACGCAGTTAATTTTTTCCTTCACTGTAAAGTGAACGTAATATAAAGAAGAAAAAAATAAACGCTGTCATTCTCCTATACAAGGCCCGCAAACTCAACTTTGCCACTTGAGTTGTTGCTACTGCTTATGTGACCAGCGGTATCGCGAATCGAGTCCGAAGAGTGAAGAATGAGATACAAAAGGTAAAGTTATTTGAAATTCTCAGATACCCTCAGGGAAAGTGCAACGATACTTCAACTTAAATTTAAGCATTCTGATCGATCTTCCCCCGCTCCGTTTTTAATTTTTCTAGTAAACCTAAATTCCTTCAATTGAAGATTTTATGATTCATTCAACTTGAAATATTCCTTGCCTTACCTTATTCAGGTTCCAGTGCAAAAAAAGTGTGTATTTTTATTTTAACTTGAAATTCATCCCCTCCCTCCCCTCCCTCCCCTCCCTCAAACATTCTTGGATCGATCTGTCGCGAGAACTTTCATTTAACACTACCTTTTTTACTGAATGAGGAAGTCACCCGACATAATTCCGCAATGACCCAATGTTTTTAAGAGAATGTACTCATTTGCATTTCACTATTTTTCACTTTTAAGTCGCATTGCCTCTAAAAACGCAGAAAATCTAGCTCTCATTTAACTTACCACCTTCTGTTTCAAAGTAAACTCTTATCTGTAACTGAAGTTCTTGTAAGTGACCTTCGATATTTTTAGTGCAAAGTAAACCACGGGCTGCCAACAAGCCATAGCCATGCAAGAAAGTTATAGAATGCTTTATATAAATATGCAACACTGGCCACACAACCAAAATCACGATAAAAACAAACCTAAACAAAGCTTACGGTCGGAACTTCAAATTTCCTCAACAACTTCCACGTCGCCTCCACACAGTAGACTGCGGTTGCAATGAAGAGTGGGAAATGACAAAACTTGAATCAGGGGAGTAGGGTGGTGGAAGGGGAAAGAGACAGTTACCCTTGTTTGGTGCTATACACAGTTTAGAAGCAATAAGCAGTATTTTACCAAGTTTAGATGAGCATTATGTGGGGCTTTATTTTTCCGTGGAAAAAAAAACAAATATGAACTGAGTTTCGTAAGATAAGCCAAACTTTTAAGCATGAGAAAATAAAAAAAAGTATCCCATGAGTACTCGAACCTCAGACCTCTCGATAAATACTCTCATGCTCTTCCACAGAGCCACAGACGCCATAGCTGGTCAGGAAGTTTTTAGCTGTTTATATAAAACGGATCCCTCATATTACTCAAGCCAAGTGATCAAAAAATATATAGCCAAGGTTATTAGGTCCTTTCGTTGGCAATTAAGTTAAATTATGTTATCAGACTGCCAGCAATAATTTCTGCTTTTAACTCTTAAATGCATGTTGAACTGTTTTCCTTTTTTGTCTTGCCCACTCACGAGGTGTTTTTAGGGGAAGAGACGAAAGTAACTCGTTTTTCCGCTAGGTAATATGAGTCGATATGTCAAACGCTGCGGAATTCATTCAGCCAAATTCAGTATCACGCTTGCTTTCGGGGTAACAGCTATTGAAACTTACAGGGACGGTGGGAAATGACCGAAAAAACCGATCTTAAATCGACCGCAAAACAACTTCGTATTTTAAAATAAAAACTGCTCTAAATTAAGCCTAGAATTAAACATTCTAGATTTAAGAGTTGAGAGAATTGAATTCAGGTAAGCCTTCTTTTTACATAACGTCGTCTCTTTCTAATCCAATATAAAGTCGAAGAACTTACTCGAAATTAGCAATTTAGATGAAATTGGCACGCCAGCTTGGCCATAGAGAGCGCAGATCTGAGACTTGACGGAAGCAAAAATGGCTGTTGTATGTTCTTTTCTGATTAGGTTACAATGAAATATAATCCACTACTTTTACTGTTTGTAGTCAGTCTCGTTTGGAAATTTATCAAGTTACCAATTGCACAAAGAGAACCAAAGACATCGCGAAATATTTCTTGTTTAGTTAGCAAGTTTTGTGTATGTGTATCTTCGGCTGTAACTATAGCAGAGTAAAGAAAACGGGAGTTGTTGAAAATTGAGGTGTAATCTCTTGTCTTGTCACCTCAACAGTTTCAAAAAAAGTACATCTATTTTATGAATTCTAAAAGTTTTGTCCCTTTAAGTTACGAGTAACGTCCTAATCCAAAAAGCGGAAACTGATGGTGGAAAATTATTCAGTTTTATCATTCGAACTTCATAAACGGATCCCTTGTGGTATACAAGATATACCCGTAGATAAGATAGCAAGAGGCGAATTAAAATTCAGAGATGAAAAACAATCCAAGTTATGGTAGTGAATAAAAATGAATGTAGTCATGGAAAATTCAGGTTTTAAACCTTTTTTTATTTAATTACGTGGGCGAAAAATAAAAGTTCTCCGTCTAGATCAGCTGGAAAGGAGGTGGTGAAGTTTTAAATTTAGGAGCGGCTGAAATTCAAGCATCAAATTTCATTTTTCATGCTAGACGAACCGATCACGACAAGCTAAAATAGAGTCTTATGATTTCTCTTGATTATCTTTTTCTAAGTTTGACGTATTTTGCAAGAGTAGAATTTCTATCGGATTCAGTTTTGATTGATTCAGCTCGGCGTTCGGCATTTCCTTGCTTCAATTCGTTCAAACTCCATCTGAATAAAATCTCCGTTTAACCTGATCATAATAAAGGAAACTAATTTCAATGAAAAGATGAAGTAAGTTCAACCAAGTGATGACACTTGTGTTGGCATTATTTTGGCTGGACGACACAAAATTAAGACACCACAAGAACACAGTAGTTATTTTGTGATCCTAAAATACAGAACAAGTTACTTTTTCAGCTACTTATTGTCTTACATGAACAGCAGCTGCAGTTTTCTGTCGGCTGCAATTTTTTTTCGCGCCCAATGAAATCATTCGGTCCCAAGGATATGCAAAGTGTATTTGCAAACGCGTTAACTTGACAAACTTGCTTTCAGAGAAGGTGAAAATGCTGTTGATGAGAAAGGCGCTATAAAACATGGTGAGTTGCTCCTTTCATTTTTAATCACATAGCAGTTTTTTTATCGTTAAGTAATTTTTTGGAGAGCGATTTGGACTTGTTAAATCCTTTGGAACTGAAAATTCAAAGAAGACTTACGCTTTGCCAAAAGGGACGGAAAAACACAACTAAACCGTAGAAAAGGTGAAGCTGATTCCCACATCAGCGTTAACAGATCACTTGATGGCTTCTTTATTACTTTTAAATCAACCTTAAAATGGAACATAAACTAAAATTTTACTTTTGAAGGAGGGAAAATTTCGCGTAAGGGCGAAGCGTTCAATAAAACTTTTCAGATAAAATGACAACAACATCAATATTGGCACACAATTGCTTAATTTTATCAATTGCACCGTACCAATAAGATTCAAACAGTTCAGTTTTTAAAGGCTGGGCTAATTGCATAATCTTTAACTTTGAACGTCTTTTAAGGAGCGATCAAAAAATTTTCAAAATTTCTGTATCATTCATATTGCTAATGCTCTTCGCCAGAACTTGTCGCGAATCTAAATGTCGGGCAGACATGAAGACGTAAATTTCCCCTCTTCTGTCAGTCTGAATAAAATTCCACCTGCCCGGTTTTCAAATTCTCTTTTGATCTAAACAATGCACCACTTTTTATTTGCTGATAAGTGACGCACAAGCAGCAGATGGTTCAACATCTGAAAAAATTTTATTTCCACGTTTATTTTTAGCGCAAACAAATTTGTCTCGATTGGTAAGAAACGAGTACACTTTTTGTTGCCTCTTGATAAGAGAGCACTTGAAACTTTTTTGCTTAAGTTGTTCAAATGATTGGAGAGGTCGCAAAATTGCTCATTTATCGAAGCTATTGACAGAAAACTAATAACTGCCTCTAATAACTGTGGTAAATAGTGATATTTATCAGTCGATCAACCTCGTTCTTAAAACATTGCAAACGAGGCTGAGGTAATGAATGTCGGAAGTAAACGGCGATCTCCGTGACCATACAAGGTTTTTTTATTCACTTTGTTATTGGTCGGTTTACACTACTTTCTAGAGCGACCTGGGTATCCGTGTATTCCATCTCTTTAAGGACGAAAAGTAAGCTTTTTTTCGAGGGGAAGGGAGGGACATTTTTTTCTATTCTGTCTGCGATAATTTTGTTTTGGATCGGCAACGCTTAATTATTAGTTTCTCTTCTCAGCCAAACAAATGTGCTGGAGAGAGCTCTCATCCTATAACAAATATAATGCTTTTGAAATCAGCTTTACCTTAGCTTCAGTATTATCAATATTTATGTCTGTTCCTCCTAATGGGTCAACTTATTTCATTTCAACTGTATTTTTTTTTTCCTCAGGAAAACCTTTCTGACGAACAAATTGCAGGTATGATCAACTATTCAGTTCTGATAATTATGCTTCAAAAACGAGGCCTGTTCTCAAAACAGATTTTTCTAAAACACTCAAAGAGGCCATTATCCTTTAAGCTTACAAGGAACGCCCTTTTCGGGACGGTAATCTCTTCTCATCATCAACTCAAGCCGGCGAAACATTTTTTTTAGTTATCCTTTCAGCGAAAATACATATGCACAGGAAGAGAATTAATAATGACAGGAGACCATCACTTAACGTAATGGGGCTCCTGATAATGAGAGAAATTATGCGATACAATAATTTGGTTCGTTTTTTGCCTTATTTTCCTTTGTAAAATTAAAAATGGAAACCTTTAATCTTTTTGTGTGTTATTTTTTGGGGGAGGGGTACAAAACTTCGATTTGCGTTTGCCCGAAAATTAAATTAAAGATTTAAATATTCATCTAGAATACAAGGATGCCTTTTCTTTGTTCGACCGTGATGGCAACGGCATTATCACCACCAGGGAACTGGGCGCCATAATGCGATCTCTGGGGTTTAACCCAACTGAAGAAGAATTACAAGCAATGATAAATGCGGTGGATTATGACGGTATGGCAACTGTAGGTGCATTTGTATGATAAGTAATGAGGGATTGGGCATTTCTTTATCGCCTGAGGGTTGACAGAGGATTTTGTTCTATCGCAATAAATTTATCCGACCCCCCCAAAGTTCTGTTGGATTCTTATGACCCCCCCCCCACATTTTCAGTCAATTTCTGTAGCCCCCCCTTTCAACTATGTTAGTGACGACTGATCTGCCCTCCGTTCCCCCCTGAAAATCATGTACCCCCTAAAAATCTTCCGACCCACCCACTCTCCCTGAGGTGATAAATAACACTGATCCCTCTCGTACCCAAACCTTCCATTTCTTCCACAGTTCAACGGTAAGATCTGAGTACAAGATTACGATGAAGGGGGATAAAACGATACGATTTGAGCCAGAATTTGTATATTACTGTTTAGACTATCTAATATGCCATCAATCATTTTCTACGAAGTTTAAATCAATTACACGCTAAAAAAAGATTCTCGTTAAAAGATTGAAAGTTTTAATACCAACTCAATTTTCCTCCTAGGAAACGGCGTCATAGACTTTCCAGAGTTTGTCAAACTTATGGAGATTCAGAAAAAACCAGACGAACGAGAGGCAGACATGATGTTAGCATTCCGAATTTTTGACGCCGACAATAAGGGGTACATCGAGTCAGCGGAGTTACGCTACATACTACTAAATATGGACAAACGAATTCCGCAGGAAGAGATTAAAGAGCTGATGGAGATTGCTGATTTAGAACGAGATAGAAAAATAAGTTATCAAGGTACTCGAGAGTTTCCTAACATTATAAACCTAGCCCTACTAAAAATTAATAACATGGATCAATGTTAGTATCTTGAGTTACTCCGCACCTACCCCTCCCCTAACTCAACAACAGTCAACTGATAATAAATTATGATTATAGTTGGGTTAGGGGAGGGGTAAGTGTGCAGTTGTCCAGTAACTGACATTGTTCCCTAAAATTTTGCATCTTGCCACGGGATGCTCGCTTTTATCCCGCAAAAAGAAATAGTTGCGTGGTTTTCTGGTCCTGGAGATTGGGGAAACGGCAAATGAATTTATCATTTATTCATTTATTGATTCTTTTTTATTTTTATTCCACAGAATTCCTCGATTTAGTCGAAAGTCACAGAGGACTGTTTTCTTAAAATTACGTGACCTTACATAGTGAACAACAAAAGACAAAGAAGTATTTACCTGCTTGAAGAAAGCTTAACATACCACCAAGATTTGATAACTAGCCTGAAATGCTGGCGGTTATTACATGCGCTTTACCGTTTTATGTTAGCTAAGGAATAAGCAGTGAAGTCACTACAACCAACATCCGTCCCAAGTCTCTCGCGGCTTCACGCTCAAAGCCTTTGCGCACACAAAACCTCAAGTTTCTCCTCTACTACGTGAAGTTACACTGTGTAATGCTTGAGACAGTTTTCGATGTGAACTGGCTAGATCTTTTTTCATCTATATCTTTACACCCTGATATTAGTATACACATTCTCCGCACTGATTTCACTTCATTTTATTGTGGTACTTACAATGAGAATTTGTATGACGGTCAGGAGCTTCTTAAATTTCTGATCATTTCCATTATTCCCATATCCTTAACATTTGACCCATGGGTGATACTGTAAGGAGAAACTAGAAGATGGTCATTCTCGATGAAAGCCCCACATGATTGCTTGATGATCACCTTTAGAAAAGGGAGGTAGTATTCCCACATAAGTACGAAAGAGTCTGGCCTTTTTATTCGTTTTCCTACCGGTGCGTCACTGGTAGGCCAGATAGCACTCTATTCTTGGCTACTATTGGACTAAGTCATTGTAAGCTTTTTACTACAAAAAAACAACAACAAAAAAACAATAACAAAAATGATGGAAAACTTCAATTATTCAATGCATAATCTATAAAATAATCTCCTATTAAATAATATTATAAAGGGACTGGTCGATATTTCTCGCCAAAGAGAAGGGGGGAGGGGGGTAGGAGGATTTTGGTTGAGTCACGATGAAATTAACCTGATCTCCCAATAAGGTTCGGTAAAAATTTTACAACCCCTCCCCCCTCCCCC